AGCTTTCTTGACCAATCTTTCCGAGTGGGGTTAACCGCTTTCTCAAGGATATGCTTAATTTCCCGGTTAGACACTTCAACTTGTCCACTTATTTGAGGATGGTAGGGAGTGGCTACTTTGTGAGTGACGGAGTACTTAAGAAATAATTGCCTCAAGAAATGATTGCAAAAATGCTTTCCTCCATCACTTATCATAGCCCTTGGCATACCAAAACGAGCAAAGATATTGGATTTAATGAATTGAATGACCACGGAGTGATCATTTGTTTTGGTAGCACAAGCCTCAACCTACTTAGAAACATAATCAACGGCAAGAAGAATGTATTGATAACCATATGACATAGGAAATGGACCCATGAAATCAATGCCCCAAATATCAAAAATTTCAACAACCAATATATTGGTTAATGGCATCATATCTCTTTTAGACATTGTTCCCATCTTTTGACACCTCTCACACGACTTGCAAAAGTTGTAGGCATCTCTATGAATAGTGGGCCAAAAGAGCCCACTTTGAAAAACCTTTAGGGCGGTCTTCTTTGCACTAAAATGCCCACCACATGCAAGTGTGTGGCAAAACACTAGGACACTTGGGATTTCACTCTCCGGAATGCATTTTCTCACAATTTGATCGGGACAATAACAGTATAAAACAGGGTCTTCCCAATAGTAATTCCGGATGTTGGCAAAGAAACGATTTTTGTCGTTCTTTGACCAAGAGGTTGGAAGCTTGCCTATTGCCAAATAATTCACAATATCAGCGAACCAAGGCATTATTCCATTTGAGACTTGAAAAAGTTGTTCATCCGGGAAGGAATCATGAATTGGAGGACTAAGGAAAGGCTCTATTTGTAATCTGGAAAGATGATCAGCAACCACATTTTCGGTGCCCTTTTTGTCCTTGATTTCAAAATCGAATTCCTGGAGGAGTAAAATCCATCTAATCAATCTAGGTTTTGTTTCCCTCTTTGTTAAAAGATGTCTCAATGCAGCATGATCAGAGTAAACAACAACCTTAGATCCTAGCAAATAAGAGCGGAACTTATCAAGAGCATATACTATAGCAAGTAATTCCTTCTCGGTAGTGGAGTAATTCAATTGAGCTCTTGAGAAGGTTTTGCTTGCATAGTATATGGCACAAGGGAGCTTACCTACTCGTTGGCCCAAAACTGCCCCCATGGCATAGTCAGAAGCATCACACATAATTTCAAAGGGCAAAGACCAATTAGGAGGTTGCATGATAGGAGCAGATGACAATGAAGTGCGCAATTTATGAAAGGCGTCTAGGCATGCTTGATCGAAGATGAAAGGAGTATCCTTGGCAAGAAGATTGCACAAAGGTCTAGCGATTTTGCTAAAGTCCTTGATGAAGTGGCGATAGAAGCCGGCATGACCTAGAAAAGAGCGAACTTCCCTCACCGTTGAAGGTGGGGGTAGTTCAGAGATGAGTTCAACTTTCGCCTTATCTACCTCAATTCCTCTTCTAGATATGACGTGACCCAAAACAATTCCCTCTTGAACCATGAAATGGCTCTTTTCCCAACTAAGAACAAAGTTTGTTTCACGGCATCTTTTAAGCACTAAGTTCAAATTTTTGAGGCAAGCATCAAAGGAAGACCCAAAAACAGAAAAATCATCCATGAAGACCTCAAGATACTCTTCCACCATATCCAAAAAGATAGACATCATACACCTTTGGAATGTAGCAGGAGCATTGCACAAACCAAAAGGCATCCGTCAATAAGCAAATGTGCCAAATGGACATGTAAAGGTGGTTTTCTCTTGGTCTAATGGGTCAAGGGCCACTTGGTTGTAACCGGAGTATCCATCTAGAAAGCAATAGTATTGTTGCCCCGCCAATCTCTCTAAGATTTGATCAATGAAGGGTAAAGGGAAATGATCCTTTCTAGTGGCGGCATTTAATTTTCGGTAATCAATGCACACACGCCATGAGTTGGCGGTGCGCTTAGAGATTTCCTCACCTTTAGCATTTTCAACCACGGTAATTCCCGACTTTTTGGGAACTACTTGTGTAGGACTCACCCATTTGCTATCGGAGATTGGGTAGATGATTCCGGCATCCAAAAGTTTCACTACTTCTTTCTTAACTACCTCTTTCATGTTAGGATTCAATCTCCTTTGGGCATCCCTAAAGGGTTTTGTATCCTCTTCCATGAGTATACGATGCATACAAATGGAAGGATCAATTCCCTTAAGGTCCGCCACACTCCACCCTATAGCTTCTTTGTTTTCTTTAAGTACATTAAGTAGAGCATTTTCTTGGTCCTCATCTAGGCTTGAAGAGATGATAACCGGAAGAGTGTCGCGAGGACCTAGAAATGCATACTTAAGATTAGAAGGCAAAGTTTTTAGCTCAAGAGTTGGTGGAGATACCAAAGATGGAACCGGAGGAGTACTAGAAAGTGAAGGAAGAGGCTCAATTGGAGTTTTCCATGGTGGACAATTCAAACTTGCTACGGATTCCATTATATTGCTTACTTCATTGATTGAATTTTCATTATCAAACCCACAACTCTCATACATTTCAAGAAGACATGAGGCAAGAGGATCATCGGATAAAAGAGATGAGAGATCATCCTCAAGCGGTTGTTTCATGATCATTGTGGGAATTGATTCCTCAACAACCTCATCTAACACATCAATAACATAACACTCATCTTCATCTATGGGATGTCGACTTGCATTGAAAACATTGAGTTTGACCATCATGTTGCCAAAAGAAAGATCCATGATTCCGGACCTACAATTGATAGTGGCATTGGCGGTGGCAAGGAATGGTCTTCCCAAGATGATTGGGATTTGAGTAGTGGAATTAGCAACCGGTTCAGTTTCTAACACTACAAAATCAACCGGAAAGTAGAATTTATCTATTTTGACAAGGATGTCCTCAACCATACCCCTAGGTGTTTTGACGGATCTATCAGCCATTTGAAGCACCACCGAGGTTGGTTTTAACTCATTTAACCCCAATTAGACATACACAGAATAAGGAATCAGGTTAACACTTGAACCTAAGTCAAGAAGAGCTCTCCGGATCTCGTGATTTCCAATTACACATGAAATGGTTGGAGCACCGGGGTCTTTGCATTTGAGTGGAGTATTTTGTTGAAGAATGGAGCTCACTTGCTCCGTGATAAACACTTTCTTAGGACCTTGTCCTTTGTTCCTCCTCTTTTGTGTGCAAAGATCTTTCAAGAATTTGGCATAAGGCGGAATTTGCTTAATTGCATCTAAGAGGGGAAGATTTATGTTCACTTGCTTGAAAACATCCATCATGTCAAGTATTTTCCCATCTTGCCTCTCTTGAGTTGAGGTTTCTCTTAAAGCATAAGGGAAAGGAGCTTTTGGCTCATGACATTTTGGCACTTGAGAAGATGATGAAGATTGAGTATTCCGATTTGGAACATTCTCATCCAAAGAGATAGGTATGGAATTGGAATTTTGATGAGTGACAACATCAGTCACACTTCCTCAGGTTTGGCTAAATATCAGTCTGAAATATCTTTCGAAAATAATTATCACTTAGGTTTATTTTCACTTTTATGTCACAGTTTCCGTTAAAAATATATAAAAGACAATTTTGCTCCTAAATACCCTTTGACTTGGTCAAAAGTGCTCTCTAATATATATATATATATATAGTTCGGCCTACATCCTTGGACTCCATGAACACTTTGCAGTGACCGATATCCAGGCAAGTTCATTTCTGTGGAAACCTTGATGCCATGGAGATCCAGCACTGAATAGGTTTTCTGGAAGATCCAGCACAAAGATGGGACTCATTAAATGGCATATCATTACCACGGCGAATGAAATAAGTAAACAAAAGTTTAGAACAAAAGGTTTCTTCACATCAATGTTTACAGAACAAAAAAGGCCAAAATAAGTACTTAGCAAAATCAAGAATTCCGTAAAGGAATCAAACATATTAACAATAGTAAAAATTATAGAGACCAGTCAAAAGAACATTGAAGAGTAAAGGTGGTGGTGGAGAGAGAAAGGTACAGTGGTGGAGAGAGAGAGAAGTATATATGTCTTGTGTAATATATATATATATATTTGTGTGTGTGTGTGTGAGTGTGTGTGTAATTTGTAAATTTACAAAATTTTAGGGATATTTTAGTCTTTTAATCCAATTGTGTAGGCAAAAGGGTTGTTTTAACAAAGTCAAATGGTTTTTACGTTATTTTGTAAGCTGTCAGAATTATTCAACTAAAGGTTGGAGTGTGAGTGAAAAACGGAACGAAAGTTTGTAATGTGAATGATAGTTATTTTCGAAAGATTTTTAAGTATGATATTTGGCCAAACTTAATGGGGTGTCAGTGAAATTAACGAAAAATTTTAAAACAGTCATGGCCAGCTAAGACCCATCACAACAGAAAAAAATAAAAATAAAAAATAAAAGAGAGAGAGAGAAGCCATGTCTAACCCAGACACCACCACCACTACCGTGCACCACCACAATAGAATAAAAATAAATAAATAAATAATAATAATAATAATTTTAAAAAGATGGTTATTTTTATCTCACCATTCCCCCGATTCTCTTTTCTCCTCCCACACTCACTTTCCTTCCCTTACTTATCTCAATCACAAATCTAATGCCACCACAACCACCACACCACAATATTTTTCCCCCAAATTATGTGAATTAACGTGCCTTAGCCACCATCTCCTCCACCTCCGGTTACGTTTGCCTCCATCGACCACCGGCAAATCCTCTACCAGTAAGAAGAATGACAAGGGGTTCAATTTACCCCAAAAATATGACATAGCAAGAAGAGGGGAATGAGAGAGGAAGGGAGTGTTGGCGGATGGGTACCCAAAAAAAAAAAAGATTAGGATAGATAAAGAGGCTTAATAATGAGAGTGATTTCGTCAATTAACATGATTGATATTTTATAAATTAATTAAATAATCAAGGACAAATATGACATTTGAAGCTTGTTAAAAAAAACGATTCACTGAGTGACATTAACCGAAACCTTAGAAGGTGTGAGTATAATTTACCCAATATTAAAATGAAAGATCGAATAGAAGAGACATTTAACGTTTTCGGACAGACAATCTGTAAATTAGAGTAACATGTGGGCAAGCAAAAATAAGATCAGCTACAGAGTACAGTTCCAATTCTTGATGTCTGTATACACAAGATTGTACACCTAAAAAAAAATCTCTACAAATTGTAGCATTGGAAAAAATGGTATGACTCAGACAGATCTAAAGCATGGTTAATGCAAACACAATACTGTTAACAATAGACGATCATCTCCAGCATGTTCAAGGTAAGGGCGTGGGAGGTTTCCATTGATTAAATTCTACTAAGTTTCTGTTCACTGTAGATCCATTGTGAAGCCAGAATGTTTCACTTGACTGGTGGAATTGCCTCACTTTCCTCTGAAGTTCCCACATGATTCCATTAAACGCCGAGCAGGGCTCTGATTCAGGAGCATAAACCCATAAGCACCTCACCTGTCTACCATGGGCTATCATCCTCTCTATGTCCTCATCTGAGAAGCAAGTCAAAGGCATTAGTCAGAATGTTATGGGTTACAATACACAAATAGGATGTAAATGGGGGTGCTGGAAAGAGACCTGGTATTGATTCTAGATACTCCAAAAGCTGGGGACCTATACGATTCCACGGCCATTTGATTGATATCTGGGTGTATTCAATAACATTCTGGAAAGGTAATTCTGCATGATCTGATATGATAACTGGGACACACTCCTGTTCAGTAAAAACAGTTGTATCATCTCAACGAACCCTTCCTATCAATATAATTAGAGAGAGAGAGAGAGAGAGAGAGAGACCACAAAAAAGGACTCGTAAAAGCGAAGGGTCCATGATGACTCGCCACGCGGAGCTAGACAGAACTTGGCATTGCGGAGGTGTTGAAAATATTCGACCTTCCCCAACTTGTTAGGGCCACTGAACTTCAACTCTGGAGATTCCAACTGTTTATAGAATTAGTAAGCACATACTTTGGAGGAAGTATCATTCACATTAGATGAAGTTGCAAATATAACATTAATTAGTAAATTAAAAGAGATCACACCCAAAGTGACGAAACTATATGTATGCATGTCAACCAAATGGATTCAACGCCCAGGTGTGGAAAAACTGGAACTTCATTGTTGAGAGAATATCATAGGAGTGATTTATGAGATTGATTTTAGGAATTCTCCATCAATGTATTTTCTATATTTATCACTTGTATTCTTTCACCTACAAATAGGTGTGGTCATTGTAAACAAAACTAAGAGAATATAGGGCTTTGTGTGCCATGGAGGCCATAGTGGCTGAACCATGTTTATCCTTGTATTGTTTTATTCTTAATTTCTCTCTTCAATCTTTCATTTTTTTTCAAACATGGTATTAGAGTAGGTTTATCATACCTGAAACTAGTCTCGAATCATCATATCTACTCTTCTCAAATCTTTGGATCCACGTGTCTCAGATCTCTGGATCTACTCGTATCGGACTCCAGTCAACTTCGGGTAGTGGGATAATTATCATAGGAGTGGTTTAAGCCTTGATAGAATGTTCATAGGAGTGGTTTAAGCCTTGATAGAATGTTCATAGGAGTGATTTTAAGAATCCTCCATCAATGTATTTTTCATATTCATCAGATGTATTCTTTCACCTTAATAGAGCTCACTTGTATTTTTGTGTGCCATGGATGTAGGTTGGAGTGGCCGAACCACGTATATCCTTGTGTTGTTTCATTCTTAATTTTTCTCTTCACGGTCTTTTATTCTTTATTAACATTCATTAATATACCATGTAGGCAATTCAATCGTGCATTGTAGGTAGAATCAAGAAAACAACAATTGTGGTAGTGAAGCTAGTTCTGATTCTGGCTCTAGTATTACATTTTGCTTTTGTGAACAAAGACGAACATGTACCAATATCACTATCAACGGGAAGTATATCAATGAATACATAATGCCTATTATGGTACTAACTTGCAGTGTGTACTAATAAGGCTTATATGAGTACAGACGGAAGGGATTTTCTTCTATGTAATGAAAAATATCTATTTGAGTAGTCTATCATACTACTCCTGAATCAATGAGATAGATGACTATATAGATGAGCTGAATATGTATCTCAATGGTTTCTGTAGATAGGGTTTTCTCATATTGCACAAGAGTTTCCGTGGAGGAGGGTCAACCCTCCTCCGGCAAGCTGGTGGGAGCATGTTCTACCCATATGGGATCACCACCACCACCTAAACCATAGAGCAATCTTTTTAGCGATTTGGCCTCTTCTTTCCTTTGCCAACGTGGAGTTTGTTCCAAACTACAGGTCTGGTGAAAAAGTGACCATTGAAGATTCTGATGTTGCTGAACAGGTTGATTATTGGTGTAACTCAATTGCTGGCTACGTGTTAGGGAAACATCCATACTTCCCTTTCTTCAAAAGGTTTTTAAGTAGGCTTTGGAAGACGGGCTTTGCGATGAAGGTGATCATATTGAATGATGTGGCTGATATGGAAAGAGTTTTAGCAAGAGTCCACTCCTATGAGGGCCGTCCCATTGTTCCCAATAAGTGGCATAAGCATCCTAATCAGCAGAAAGATATTTTAGGCTTGGTGCCAATTTGCATCAAAATCCATGACATACCTATCCATTGCCGAAGTGTTAAAACAATATCGATGCTCTGCTCTAAGTTCTCAAAACCTCTATTTATGGATGAAATATCTCTTGCTCGGGAGAGAGAGGATCATATGTTTGAGTATTGATTGAAGTAGATACCCATGATAATCTACCAGAAGATGTCGAATTTGTGCTGCATGGGATCACACATTGTGCTTCAATTGAATACACATGGAAACCCCAATTGTACAGTGCTTGTCATGCTATCCATCATTTGGTTGGGAACTGTCCAACAAAAAAAGAAGTTACAATCACAGCCAAAAGGACAAGCTGTTTGGAAGATTAAGAAAAAAGGGAAAATGGTTGATGAAGTCGGTCACTCTGCTGATGTTCAACAACACAATTCTGGGATTCCAATCAATGAACATAATGTTGTTGAATCATTGTCGGATGTGGCAGTGGAGAGGTCTCCTACTATTCAGACTCCTGTGGATCATGGTGGGATGGAGAAGACCATAACAGAAAGTTCAAATAGGAAGAACATGTCTCAATGCTTGATTATTATTGCTGGAGATGCCACTATTACTACGATTGACCCCTAATTTAATGCCCCATCTAAAATTGCTGAAGAGGTTGCATTGAAGAATCCTTTTGATGCTATAAACACTGATGAGAACCTAGAAGAGTTGTATCAGACTAGCCAATCTCCAATACCAGGAAAACAAACATCAAAGAAGAAGAAAAATAAAAAGAAACCTGCAGTTGTAGAAGTTACCCAAAGGGTAACTAGAGGGCAATTAGCTATGGGTGGGGCTCCATCCCAAGTTTCCCATTGATTGGGTTCTAGAATATGGGGGGCTTGAATCGCCCCCATATGCAGAGAGAGGTAAGAGATTGGTTTTCTCAAGTCTCTTTTAGTTTAGTTTTTCTGTTGGAAACTAGAGTGAGAGAGAATAATTTTTAACAGAAACTCTTGGAGCTGGGCAAATAATTATACTTGCAATACCCTTGGTTGTATATGGGTTGGGCGGGATAGCCAGGTGTTTGATATTGTGGTACTTAATATGACTGATCAGTGTATGCATATTCATGTAAAGTGTCATTATAATAAATAAATAAAAATGCTTCTATGCTTGCCTAATTTATGCTGCTAACTTGGAATCAGATAAGAAAAAACTTTGGTGCACACTGCATGAGTATACTGGTATACTGAAAATGTGATGGTCTCCCCAACTAGATGCTCAGATCAATATGTTACGTTACTCTTATCAGACTTTCAGATTGCTCAAGACCCTAAGCAATTTAGGTTCTTGAATACCTGGCATAATCAGCATATGGTAGAGGATGTGATCTATTCAGCTTGGACTAAGAATACTATGGGTGATCTTCCGCAGCAGATGTGTTCCAAGTTAAAAGCAGTGAAAATAGTTATGAACGAATGGAATAAAACTCAGTTTGATTCTATTCATCAACATGTTATCAGTGCAAAGACTGCTTTGGATGATATACAGCTTAAACTTTTGAATGATTCTTTCAATCAGAACCTGATTGATGGAGAAAAAGAAGCTAGAAGGAAGGATGTGGCTCTGTCAAATGAAGATGTTTTAGTACGCACAAAAGTCATGGATAAAATGGTTGAAAGAGACAGATGGATACATCAAGTTCTTTTACCAAAAGATTAACTATCATAGATCAATTAATTCAATCATTGCCTTGGAAGATAGTTCAAATGGATCGACTTCAGATCAGGATAAAATTAAGCAGATTTTGGTGGACTACTACAAGGACTTCTTTGCAGTTCAGAGTAATAACCATGATCAGATTATGCAGCAACCTAGAAGAACCTTTTCTGCTTATGCAGCTACCTCTTTGGAAGAGCCTTATTCTATGCAAGAAATTAAAGATGTGGTCTTTAGTATATATCGTGATGGGGATGGGCACTGGGTAAATAAAAGTATATAAGAGAGCGTTCAAAAGGGGAATGCATCCCGAAAGCTATACAAGACCCAAAAAATCCACAATTTCATCTGAAGATATACAATTTCTCCCCATCTATGTTACATGGACTCTTCAAAAGTACCCGTGTCGGACACCTATTACTTGGACATGGGTATGGGATGCATGAAACGTGTGCGACACTTTTGGTTGGACATGTATTTAAAAAGCATATCCAATCATTCAAATATATTATATTTTTAATTTAAAATGAGTTAAATGCTTATATTGAACATTTTATTAGATAAAAACATTACTCTACTCTAGAAAATAAAATAAAATGCATATTTAGCAGTATCCGTGTGTCCTTCTGTTTGGAGATTTGACACATCCGACACATGGATACATACCTGTGTCCGACACACGTACCCGAATCCATGTAACAAGCTCCCCATCACCCAGCTAAAAAGAGAATAAACAATAGAAAATTTCAGCACCCCAATGGAGGATTCCTTCCCATCAAATATGTGAGTCAAGATTTGACTACAGCAGTGCATTATTTCTTTTGTAGTTCAAAACTTACAAAAGGTGTTTCAAGTTCTTTCATAACCCTTATCCCTAATGCTATCTTTGGTTGGAGGGAAGGATTGAGGGGGATGGATGAAAGGAGGGATGGATAAACATTTTCAAGTTTGGTTCGAGGGAAGGAAAGAGAGGGAGGAAACAAGGAGGAATGCTTCATCCCTCCTTCCTTTATGTTTTTCTATCCACCCACTTTTGAGGGGAAGAGAGGAGAGAAAGAAAGCATAACTACCTATAAAATTGTAAATTACAATTTTAACCTTTTTAAAAATTTTGAAATAATATCTACCCTTTATAATTTTATATAATGAGGGTATATTGGTAAAAAGAATATAAAAACTCTCCTTCCCTCCCTCCCAACCAAACAAGAAAAAACTATCACTCCATCCATCCTTTCTACTATCCATTCCATTCAACCAAACAAAAAAATGGGAAAGACACCTTCCCTTCCTTGGGAATACCTCATCCATCCCTCCCCCCATCTCTTCATCCATTTTTCCATCCCTCCAACCAAACGAAGCATAAGAAAGACAAGTGTGCCACACTCTCATATTTTAGACCCATTGCTTTGTGTAATTTTCTATACAAGGTTATATCTAAACTCTTGGCAAATAGGATTGCTAAATTTCTCCCTTCTCTGATTGGGAAAGAGCAATCTGCCTTTGTGAAAGGAAAGATTAATTCAGGATATCGTCATTTTCTCTGATGTGCTTGCGAGGGTTTAGGAAACAAGTGGAGTGAAAGACTTATGGCCCTTAAGGTGGATCTGCATAAAGCATATGATTCAGTCAAATGGAGTTTTTTAGAGCAAATGATGAGAGCCGGAGTAGATCTCATGAGATCTGTTTTAACTTCTTTTACCTACTACTGGTGCTCAGTTTTTAGCTTCCCTCTACAGTTATCAAGCTTTGGAAAACAAAATGAGAAAATTTTTATGGGGCACCGCTGAAAACAGCAGGAAACTTCATAATTTGAAGTGGACTATGGTTACTTGTCCAAAGGATGAGGGTGGATTTGGGATTAGAAAGATTGATGATATGAATTACATTGCTAAATGCAGATTGGTATGGGACTTTGTCAGGTCAAAGGACAGCCTGTGGGTAGCCTGGTTTGAGTACTAAAACACGGCTAACTGCTCTTACTGGAATTCCATTCCTCGTGCATCTCAGTCCTGCATTTGGAGGAGTATGATAGCAGTAAGACACTTTATGTCGCAGCATATCAATTTCAGATTTGGAACTGGTACTTCTACAAGGTTATTTGACAGAGCTAAACTCTTATTCAGAGGTTCTTCTATAGAATCTAGGGACTGAATCTCACCAGGGATGCTAAACTAAGTGGCCTAATTACAAATAACAGATGGAGCATTCCAAGACCATATACAGCCATCTTGCAGCAGTTACAGAATTTCCTTCTGCCTGTTCCTGTACAGTCTGGTTCGGATTCCAGTTTATGGGACGATGGAGCTTTCAGCCTAAAGTCAATTGGTATAATTTCTGCTGGAATAACTATAGACAAAGGATATCCTCCTCTTGTTGCTTGCTGCTTCATGACAGGTTACCCTAACTAATCTGAGGAAGATAGGTATGATGGTTGTTGCTGTTTGCCACAGCTGTATGGCTGCTGCTGACTCAAGAAATCATCCCTTTGTTTGGTGCCCATTTTCTTCTACCATTTGGGAATGGCCTTCAACTCGTCTCTCATGGAATTTACAAGGTGCTACTACTCTGACACAACTTACTGACTGGATCATGCACTCACAATGGTCTCATACTGCAAAGAAGATTGCTAGAATGCTATTTTCAATAGCTATATGGCATATATGGACAGAAAGGAACAATAGTTTACATGATGGTAATACTAAATCAGCTGTGAAGGTTGCAAAATTGATTTATTGGGAAGTTTTAGGTATCACTGGCTGCCAATTTGAAGATATGCTGCACTCGTAATGGTGTTTTTTCCTTTTTTGTACAATGAGGGTATGCCCTCATTTGATCTTCATTTGATCTTCATTATTTCAATATTTGTAAAATAAAAATAAAAAATCCATCTTGCCCGGGAAATATATATATGTATATCAATGATTTTGTTTGGCAATAAAGCTAAAACTTTACATGACGCTTTAAAGTTTCTGCAGGAAAGAGAACTTCTGCCAAGACAAGCATGAAGCTATGGAGAAAGACATACCTTTTCTGGGAATTGCTTTGCAAGCTCCACCAATTGAAGGCGACCCACCTTACCTTGTGCTCGACCTAAAAAGTTTGCCAAATATTTCCTCTTTGATAAAGGCAAAGGTTGGACCAACCTGGCACCATGAGTGGTCATCCCATCATCAACATTTCCGGGGATGATGATATCTTTCCATGTATTAAAAGCACTTGTGTCTCGCTTGTCTGTTCGATCCCCCTGCATTAACATACATACAACATTCTTAAGTAGGAGCAAATTAGCAAGACAATTTTAATAAGAACCAACATGCAAACAACTGCAAGAAAGGAACAGAACCTTAAAACGCCTGTTGTGACATGCACCCAACACAAGCAAATATAATTATATAAATATTGAAGAATGACGACTAGTTTATTTATTTTACATCATGTTATTATCAGCACTATCATCATTTCTGCTGTCAAATGTCAATGTGTATTCTCGTGTTGAAGATCAAATATGAAAGCATGAGGACACAAGTCTGAATTGACTATCAAAATATGGTAGGACTAAGAAGTTCATAGTTGCTTAATGCTTTTAGAATGTCAACTGTTTCGAACAAGAAATCTGAGGTGGTTTTACCTGTTCTAAGGTAAATATGTTCGTATAGTATAATCCACATTCCACACTATTATCTTCAGGTTCTTGTCACATTGGCAAGATCTTCCAGTAATATCAATGCCATATGCCAAATATAAGCCACCTGATCCATGGACCATCCAGTAAAATATGACACAAATTGAATGTTTGTTGATGCCCTAGAATGGTCACGATTCTGAAAACAGGAAAGATAATTGAGGTCGTGATGAGGTCAAATTGCTATATAAAAAGAACAAAGGCCCGACATTTGCATTTGTTATAATTATAATTCCAGAAGCTCCCAGAATGAAGAAGAAAGTAAAATTTTGAATTTAGTTCCATATTTTTACTTTCTCCAAGTTGTGACTCATTAGTGATTATATCCACAACTTTCTTATAATCACACCAATCGCTTCACTTCAAAGAACGATAAAGCGCTTCCACTTAATGTTCTTTGAGATAAGCTGATAGAATCGGAAGTCTAAGACCAGATGTCAATACCGATAAGCCAGTCATTAGGAGCAAAGTTTCAGTCTGGTGGTACCAAGTTCACATGTCCTCTTAAAAGAAAGCACATAAAATGTGTTTTGGAGGTAAGAGTGGTACCTCGGGAGTAAGAATTATGGAACGATTCATATATGTTGACCAGGATCTGAACAAGTGGGCTCCAGCGCCACTGCAATAGTGAAAGTAAATATTTCATCATTACAAAAAAAAATAATAAAATAAAAATAAAAATAATAAATAAATAAAAGAAGAAAGAAGCTTTATACAAATAAAGGACAGTAGTCACTCAACAATTTTATGTAAATGAAAGCACAGTTGTGCTATTATAAATTTTAGCGTGCATGGAATTCTATATCTTTTGTATCAGTGTAGCATTTTTACTGAATCGTTGACAAACAAGGACGTGATTGGTTATGAGTGTTGAACTGTACTTTTTTTTTTTTTTCTAGGTTAATGTTAATAAAAGTTAATTTTGTATTATTATTTTCACTGGTTTTTATAATTAAAATGACAACTAAAATTGTAAACCGTAAATATGATAAGAAGTATTCAGATATCCTTTGCTGGTACAAGTGAATATTACATGGCATCCCATTCTGAGAAACAAATAAAATTTTATAGTTTTTTGCTCTAGATTCTTTTATTTTTATATTGATAGCTTTTTATATTGATATCTAAAAGTGTAAATGTAGTAATGGAACTGAGTCTCTTAGTTTAAAATGAGAATATGTGGGGAAAAATGAAAAAAATAAAAAACAAAAAGAGAAGAATGAGGTGTAGAGATGATCTTAAGAGCATTGTCACATTCATGTGCTGATGTGAGTGGAAAATGAACTGTCAATCTCTCCATCTTTTGATCTATCGCCAAAAACACCCAGCCCCCCCAACACACACCCCCCCCCCCCCCCCCCCCCCTTTTTCTCTGATCTCTCTCTTTTTTTATATAAGTATTGAACCCCGTTAGCCATTTTGTCACTTGATGTATCAGAATGTCATGTTTTATAATGTAAAACTTTAGCAGTAATAATGTCATGTTTTATAATGTAAAACGTTAGTAGTATCAAGTGTGAAAATGCGATTTCCAGTTACTTCGTGCAAATAATGCCAAGGGTTATATATCCAATTGCCCCTCCCAATACCCTCGATTAACGGAGACCACACTGGTTAATGATCCTTTTTACTAATATCATATTTCATAATAATAACTTGGATTGCTTACTTTGAAATCCAGGCATCTAATATTTATTTAGATCAAATGTGTTTTGAGTTACAACAAACACCATTACATTATTATACAGAAAATATACTGGTCCCAACCTGAGATCAAGCCATGCCTGTTAATATATAAAAAACAAAATGCAGTTTCCTATTTTGAAATACCTACAAACCTCATTGGTTAATTATGAAATAACAAGTAAAGTAAGTGAAATTTAGAAGTAATAATTGCCAATTTCAATCAGCAAACAGAACCAAAAGGTTTATAATTAAAGCTATTGTGTCAAGTTTTAGGACCAATGAGCAGAATGGAAAAATATGATACATGTAACTGACCTCAAATAGTGATAAAAGGCTTTCTTTGTTTGTTGTAGTACTCTCTTAATGTAATCTTAAGTAGTTGGGAAAAAGGTTTTATTTGTTGTTGTAAATTCTTACTTACCTTTGAAACAATATTCTTTATTTGTTGTTGTAAATTCTTACTTACCTTTGAAACAACATTACAATGGTATTCTAATAGGAATAGGTTTAAAATTAAATAGGTTTAATATTTCAACTTATTTACAACCAAGACAAAATTATATGTCAACCAAAACATGTTTGGCCGAGCGTCCACTGAGAAGCGAATAAGAAGAAACACACCCCAGACCAAAGATCAAATTAATCATATGACATCCTCTTAGTACTTCCAAATCATGTATCCAATAACAAGAAACAAAATTATTTTTTGAGTCCACATACATTAATGATGGTATATGATGATAAAACTTTTGAATCAAGAAACATTAAAAATATCAAAACCAATAAATTATACCTTGGGAAGACAAATATGTGGTTGCGTCCACCAGAAAGCCTAAAATATGGCATTTGACTTAACACCTGAAGGAAAAAAGTGAAAATATGATCAAAACAAAACACTTTCCATGTAACTAATAAACACAGACACTTCTAAGGAGGTAAGGAGTTGTTTTGATGACAAACACATGTTGAATGCTAAACTTTTCGAATACCTGATGACAAACACACATTGAACGCTAAACTTTTCGAATACCTTAACACGTCCACAATCTAAAACAAAAATTCTTAATTTCAAACAGTAAAAAACACTTTCTTGAATCTTCACTAACATATTACCTAGGAATATCTAGAAGTAGCCTGTAAGTATTGACTTTTTTTGGCATAAAAAATATTAGTGTAAGGAAAAAAAATTATATATATAAAATTTATACATATATATACACATATATCATGCTTAAAAAAAAGTGTAATACAAGAAATTTTTATCAAAGGAACGACAATAGGAAGAGAGGAAAATTAGGAAATGATAAAGTGATGCATGGTGATGCAAAAAGACATTTATGAACTAATATAGAAAGAAACACATATATACATGTTCATGTCATGCTCATATTATGCCTTTGTTTAAGAGATAGGATAATTATTGATTCTTTTTTTTTTTTTTTTGACTAGTAAGAGATAGGATAATTATTGATTCTTATCAAGTCATATGTTATGAATTTAATGTCAAGGCCACAACATTTCATATTTACATATCTCAAAGTAATTATGACGTGTGTAATCTACTTTTTGTGCATAAATATAATATTTCTCTATTGTTGTAACCTTGCCAACCACCATTTCCTACTTATTACGATTTGATGTGTCAACATTTTAATGATGTCGTATTAATGTCCTTTTCAGCATTCATACTATTTAAGAGAAAGAAAGAAAAAAAAAATTGATGCTAATTAATGCTAGCTGCAAACCAAAATATTTGAAATAACTACATTAACAATTAATTGTGATTTGACACATTTTCACACATGAAAAAGGTCTAATGTAGCCATCATAGATCAAAATATCAAAATAATCAGCTAAGGGAAAAAAAAAAAAAATCATAATCCCAACTAAATGAATCATAATCCCAACTCAGCTAACTAAACCCCCCAAGGGAATGAAATAGTTGGTAAGGAACTACACTTATAAGTAACAAGGTCGGAGGTTATAAGTTAGATTCCCCTCCCTTGAGAGATGCCTCGCGGAGAGTTTCCATGGATATAATCCGCATGTGAAATTGGAGCTGCCATGTGTTCGGAGGGAATTAGTTTCACTCAAAGGGTGAGGGACACCCCTCTAGTCAGCAAAAAGAAAGGGAACCAAAAAAAAAAAAAAAAAAAAACCTCCGCTGACTAAACAAAATGCTGATGTAAAAAAGCAAGTTGCAAGCATCTTATTGAACAAGCAAACTATTACTCATTCCAAGTTGGTGTAGTTTCAAGCAATAAAATGTAGCAATACCTTCACATACGTCTGGTTAATTTCTTTATCATTCAGACCACCCATCATACGAACACATTTAACATAAGTTGGTACAAAAAACAAATCTGCTTCCTCTTTCTTTCTTGTTCGAAATCTCGAGTGTAAAAGCATTCTGTGTATCTTAACCTACAATTGATAATAGAAAAATCAGAACAAAAATAATATAAACATTGAAGTTCACCTATAAGAAATCACCAAAATAAAGATTTACATGTAATCAGTGCTGAGAAAATTCAAATCTTGTAAATTTTACTTTTTAGGACAGAAAGAAAAACCCCCAATTAACAGAGCTAACACAAAAATGCCACTTGGCTGATTCAACATTTCATTTCGGTTTCTGGAAATACATAGACAACAGATTTCAAAGGGAGGGAATATATCTGGAAACGCATACGTAAGAGGGCGATATGTGGATGCAAATATTTGGGCCATGAAATAGCAACTTTTAGTTTCAAATTTTGTTCCATTTTCTCTCTCTTATTGGCTCTTCCCTACCAACTGAATGGTTAGAACAAATATATGCCAAAAACAATTAATTCTTCACCAAAAAAAATTAAATAATCAAAGAACAAAACTGCATGTAAATTTTAACTTAAAAATACACCAATTATGTACTTTTCTTTAACCTAACATGATCATATTAAATACTAAATTCACAACAGGATTGAAGAAAACACTCAATAGTTTTGCATTGATTACACCAAATACACTAGAAGTACACAATATAAAACTGAACCTGCCCAAAAAAATAACCAATACTAAATCAAATTAAACCTAAAAATCTCATTAGATGTATTAAATTCATTCAATGCTAGAACCCTATAAATGATTAAACATAAAATTGAGGAACAATCAATCACCTGAGTGCCCCATTGTCCTTTGATGCAAGAATCAGCAGAGATCTTGCCGTCCCGACCATACATCAAGGTCTTGAGGCCGTCGATCTCCAGCTCATCGTATACATAGATCTTGAGGGAGAGGTGGGACCCGAACCCTCGTTCGGGCCACGAAATGGAACCTTCGTTGTTGTCGAATCGGACGACGCCGATTTGGGATCTGGTTTGGCCATTGAACGAGGAGGAGTAGTTGCAGGAAGCGAGTGATGATTGGTCGAAGAGTCTGGTGATGAAGAAGGTAGTCGCGATTAGGGCTAGGGCACCAATCTGGTGGGTTCGGGTGCACGGAGACTGGTGGTGTGATAAGAATGGTCTGTTCTTGTTGTTGTTTAAGCTTCCCATTCTCAGTGAGACTGAGGTGTGACGGAAGAGGAGGATCGTTTTGGTTCGCAACTCGAAAGTGGGGAAGAAGATGATGTGGAGAGGAACGCGGTGTATTACGGCGTCGTTTTATTTAAGTACAATTGGTGATGTTGAGTTGTGATATTTTGTGTCGGCGGATTATAACTTAAAAAGTGTTTAACTCGATAACTCATTTATAATTAATTAAACTCAAATATGTCTGATGATTATTTTATATTAGTATTAAAAATGACTTGTTTAATTAAATGATAATTTGTAATGATTAATAGAATTAATTCTTAATAGAATGAGAATTTAATTACAGGTGTCTTACCGTATTATGTTGAGTCTTAATTTTTTTATTAATCAAGTTCACTAATATAAATATTACTCATGTCTATGGTTACAAACAATGGGATACTATGTTGTGACACATTGACACTACACCAATACTACATTAGTCGATGACAACACAAATTAATAATGAAAATGATTGTACTAGTTGTAAGTAAACACAAATTTGTTCCAAATATCACTTACAGGTAGGAATGGCAATTTGACCTATCCTCGCAGTTATTCGCCTCGTCTCGCTCTGTTTTTGGCAATTTTGGGGGACCATTTTACTTATTTAGATGAGAATGGTTTGATGTAATAAAAATCTACGCGGATTTGGTGCGGGGGCGGGGGAGCGGGGGAAAGTCGCTCCGCCCCCTTTAGATAGGCAAATTACTTAATTACCCTTATTTCATTAGTATATATATTTATCACTATATATTAAGTACCCTATATAATAATATTAAAGTAACAAATAAATTTAATTAAAAAGAAAGTTGCAATGGTGAAGAATTGAAGATAAGGGAAAAAAAAAAGAGCAAATCTATTTTAACAATAAATAAATTATGGTCTTAAACGGGGCGGGGGGCGGATACCAGCTAGGGTAAAAATGTTAAACGGTTACGGAGATGGGGTGAAAAGTGTTGGGTTTTATTCAAATGAATCCATGTAGAAATCAAGAATACTTTAATTAATTAAAGAGTAATTTAGACTCGTATTTGATTGATAATTAACGCATATATACCTTTAGAATATCCATACAATCTTCTGTGAGTTCCTGCAAAACATTAGAACGCTTTACCCCCTTTTGAGAGTTGTCGATACGATAGGTCTGAATAAACCCTTATATATAACAATAACAGAGGGGGGGATGGCTTCTCTAAAAACAAGCATATCTAAGTCTCTCTTTCTATCTTCCTATCATAGAAACTTAGATATTAATAATTAGAATTAAATTGCACCAAATAAGTTAAAAAACCACAATTCAACGGTATAAAATCATACTCCCAATTAGACCATCAAATTAGAAAGTACAACACAATCCATCAAGTATCAATAATCACATTGCAATCCTATTTTAGAAAACGTAATGCATAGGACCATAAAATAATTTTTATTATTTATATATAAAAATTTCCAACAATCTTGCACTTGGTCCATGCACTCTAAGTTTTATAAAAATGACACTATGGATTGCAACACACTAGAAAAAAAATTGAGTGGCCACTCATTTTTGTTTTATAAAAAATATAATTATCAAAATAGATGGATTGATACTTTAGAATATTCTTTTCCATAGACTTCCTCAATAGTGGATCATGAATGCATAGACAAGTAATATATTAATCTAAAGAATTCCATGATCTCAAAACCGATTCCATCTAGGATTCAAGCAAATATAGTGGTTTTTACTGTATTTCATGAGATGTGCAAACTGCATATGGTCTAAACGCACACCTCACTATCTGTCCTACTTCAAACCATCGCGGTATGTCACCTGAACAAACCGCCAACCTTCTATTCAGTGTGAGGGTTTACCGTTATGGAGCCAATCCCATATCTTGCCCAAGCTATCCTCATGGAGTGTGAAAAAAAACTCCCATAGGCAAACTTTAATATTTATGTTTGGATTTATCAATGTGGTGTCAATCTCACATCTAGTCCAAACAACCTTATTAGTATATTACCACTCCCAGACAAATCTTATATTTGAATTTACCAATATGGTGTCAATCTCATATCTAATCCAAACAACCGCATGAGTGAAATATCACTCCCAGACAACCTTTAATAATTATTTTGGATTTTAATAACTGTCACCATAAGGTGTAAACTAAAGGAAAAATAACTGTTACCACATGGCGTAAAGAAACTAACTGTAATGTAGCATATATAAAGGAAATACCGGACATCATAACATAATGATTCTCAAACATCTATCCGAATCACGTGCTTTATAAATACTTTATCATCTTTGGTTGAAGAGCTTTAGTGAGAGGATCTACAATCAAATTTTCTATTCTATCTGGGAACCTCAATAACACCTTCTTTAACTTTCTCACACATGAAAAAGTATTTTATGTCAATAGGCTAACTACGCTTGGTCACCCTTAAATTTTTTCATATACTTAATTAATATAAACCTTTAGAGAAATTCCAAGTATGCTAGTAGCGTGATCTCTATGGACCCTAATGCCAAGGACATACACTACATACCTCATGTCCTGCATATCAAAAACTTTACATGAAATTCTCAATATCATGTATCACATGAATGTCATTGCTACCAAGTAAAATATTATCAACATATAGGACAAGGAAAGCAAAATGACTCCCACTGAACTTGAGGTATATGCATTTATCCATAACATTCTCTTTGAACCTACAATTAGTAACCACCGTATCAAAATTTTGGATACCATTACTGTAACACTTGCTTAAGCTATAAATAAGTGATAATGAAAGAATAACTCTTAAAGAGTCTTTTAATGAAACTGGAGAAAAATTTGAAAGAAATCAACACTTAACTTTTACTTAAGCACTTAGCCATCATTTTTTTTGTTTTATATCCACCATACACCTCAAAGACACCAACTACAGCATACTTCCAAGCTCTACAAAATCTCCTAAGCTAAACTGGCTTAAGAACTAGATTGGAAACTGAAAAAAGAAAAAAAAAAAGAAAAGAAAAAAAAAAGAAGACTGCAAATGAGAAATAACTAAATGAGTAGGAATAGCTGAAAGAGTGAGAATGAGAACTATAAATAAAACTACTAAAGAAATTGAAATGAAGTCTAAAATAAATGGAATAGATACTGAAAGTTGCTCATCTGCAAAAAGAAACTACAGTATTCTAAACTCCCATTGAATTCACCACTCTCATCAAATTTGTATGATATATATCAATAATCTCCATAGGTATATTGAACAGAAAAAATCTTCAATCCTTTTGTAATGAACCGATCATTTTTCTTCCTTTCCTTTTTCTCAAATTTTATGGATAAATTTTTTTCCTTTAATTTTCTTTTCCGAGTTCGGTTTCTCGTCACTTGGTGTCATCTTAAATGCTCAGAAATGGTTTCCAAAACTCTTTTGTTTGGATTGATAACTTCCTTTAAGGATCGAGTCATTTCCACATTTTTACTTTTTGGACACTATTCACTTTTCATCTTTTTTTTCGTTATCACTTTTTGGCATAACCTCACTTTTCATGCTTGGAGTTGGTTTCACGTATCTTCATTCTAAGTGGTTTCCATGAAATACGTATCTTTACTTTTGTAGAAAAGTACTCCGGTTGCTCCCGGTATCCATAAGGGCATAGATGTAAAGTTTTTCAGAAACATTTTTGTTTCTTGGGGTATTTTTTGTAAATATCTTTTGAAGATATTTTATTTCCGGAATTTTTAAGAAAATATTTTTAGAAGATATTTTCATTCTGGGCCAGTTTGCAGTTAACTCTTTTTGTGGGGGACCATTGTGTAATTAATGAAAGTTATTACAAAATGCCTCATGTTGATCCTGGATCCTCGTACGGGGTTCAATTTCACATTTCTTCGAGTCGTGTACTCTTAGAATTTCCTTCCGAACGTTTTCCCCAATTTTAGGGATTTCTGACCTCAGTTGCCGTTGAACTTGTTCGGGGCATATCTCTCTACTCGGGATTCAATTTTCGACGCTGTTTCTTTCATTGTTCATTTTTTCTCATTTTAGTTCTTTTTTATTCACGGAGTTTTGCCGTTTGAGCGCGTTTGCTCAAATTCCATTTTTCCGGACTTGGCGGGGCCCTTTTTGAGTTTTTCTATAAATAGGGGGTCTTAAATGAAAAGGTTAAATTTCTCTCTCTCTCCTCTCTCTTGGCTAGATTCCATGGCAGCCCCTTGGGCTGCCACCTTCTCTCTCCTCTTTGGAACCTCCTCCCTTTAGTGAAACGCGTTAATGCCTTAGTGTTTAATGTTCGCCTTGGCAAGGCCTTCGATTCTAACCGATTGGAATCCCGTTTTGGCCATTTTTCGAGTTCGGGTTTGAAGCCAAGTTAGGATTTTGGTATGAAGTCCTTGGGGTTTAATGATCACCGTATTGTCCCCAATAAAACCCCGAAATATTGTCGAATTCGGAGCGGTTTAATTTTGGTGGCTTTTAAGATTTTCATCTCAAATTGAGGTAGGAGATGTCTTAGGTTTATATTAATGTTGTATTGATGATTTTAGAAGCTTATACAACTTGTATGCATGCTTTAGTTCAAGTTCTAGAATTTAATTTAATTATTTTCTAGGTTTAAGATTTAATTCTCATGATGGTATACAACTTAGAATTTAATTGTGGTACACTAGTAAATTAGGCCTTGGTATGTTTGTTAACATATATTAAATTGAAGGCATTTGGCTAAGTTTAGAAATCTAGAGATTTTAATTAAAAGAATTAATTAAAATCTATTTAATGGTTCAATTGGCCTAATTAAGTTTTTAACTTGATATTTGTAATAACTAGAACTTGTTTTCTAACATATATTAATTTGGGACCATTTGGAGTTGCCTTAGAATCTAGAGACTTAATTGCCGTAATTTGATTAAACTCTATTTTGTTATTTCAATGACTTAATTTAGTTTTTGAGTTGGTTTATATAATGACCATACTATGTAGCTTAATATATATTAATTGGGGATCATTTGGTTGAGATTTGAAATTAATTTATGTTTCTATTGCATTAATGATTTAATCATGTATTTGACGCTGGTTGTATGTTTCA